AAGTCAGAAAATCGGGACTTTTTTAAAATGCCCTGGGACACGGGACAAATTGTTATAAATCGTGACTGTCCCACCAAAATCGGGATGTCTGGTAATGTAATGAGCTTGAAATTTAGGTAGAAATCTTTTGCCAAAGGTACTAAACATTTATCAATTAGTGAACCACTCATTCATAGAATGAACTTTAATATAAAGATAGATATATTTGTCTCTTCATGGTTTTGCAGTAATGTAACCCAGCATGTTTAATGTAAATGATTGAGTTGGAGAGAATGGATTTTATTGTCTTGTTTTTGTATTCAAATTTCAGAATTTTTCTTTTATACTTAATTTAACACAACTAAGCATTGCAGTTATGACTTAAACTTGGCATGTCTCATTCAGTGCTATTTGACTGCCCTCTACAGGTTGCTAATGAAAATGCTACTGTATAATACTGTTCATTAATTAATGAAAGTTCAGCACCACAGCTAGATGCTTTGTTTTCCAATTTTGTCACTTAAATAGGATTTTGAAAGACAAGAATAACTTCTATGCTCACCTACTAATAGCAAAAAGATATGAGGAGTTTTTTCTCTTTGTTTCTACTATTAATGAACTCTTGGAAGTGATTTTTTTTTTATAACCATGGTGTAGAAATACTGTTTTTCTTTTCAAGGAGAGATCAGTGCACTGAGCTAATGGGGAAATGCACCTTTTTCCCCAAGTGGCATTTTGTTTGCTTAGCAGTGACTGCACTCATCTTTCTTGAATGCCGGTTATTCTTCTGTGCCAAAATTCTATAGTTACGCTGCAGTACACAGAAGACAGATCTCCCCAAGCAAAACTTGCAGCAAGAAAATATTTGGCATGCCCTGCATTAACCATTTTAGAAGTTTTCTTCACCGCTACAATCTAAAAAGCTTGGATTTCAAGAAAATATGATGTAGCTTTTTCCAATTTGATGTCTTTGAGATGTGGAGCTTAGTTATGTGTGGGTGGATGGATGAAGAGTCTACAGTAATGATGATGATAATGATGATATAATAATAATAAATAACAATTTAATAATTGTATTTGTGGGATGACTTACAATTGTTAAAATATTTTAAAAACAGAGAAGAATAAAACTACGAAAACAGCACAAAGCAAAGGAATAATGATGGCAAAGAAAATTAGCAGAGGAAAACAGGGAAGACGAAAAGGGCATCGATTGTCATCTTTAAAAAGTGAAAAATTAGACTTTAAGACCATTTGAAATAGCAGTAGGAGGGGATCCATTTAAATTTGCAAGGAATCTCATTCCAGAAGACGAGTGCTACTACAGGGGTGGTGGTCTTCCAGGGCCCTGATAAATTGCATTTTTAATTGAAAGAACCTGGAGTGTGCCAACTTTGATAGATGAATCTGCTGAACCAGATATTAAGAGTACCAGGTGGTTCCGTAAGTAAAAAAAACAAAACCCTGTGCTGTGTAAGGCTTTATAGGTCATGACCAAGTTCCTTGATTGCCAATGAGTCAAGTTATTTGAACTGTATTAAACATCTGATGAATCTGATTATTTAACAAGCCCTTTAATATTCTTTTGGTTGGTTGGTTAGTTGGTTTTGCTTTTGTCAGTAATTATCATGAAATAGGTAAGATTTGAGGTTTATTTAGTTTAATACATTTATATGCTGCTCATCTTGTGATTCAAAGTGGCTCTTTGCAGCATATGAATTTATGAGATGAGGTTGAAGATTCAGCAATTGTATGAGAAATTATTTGACTGAATATAATGTATTCATTGTTTTTGCATCACCTACCTACTATCATCAAGGTAGTTATGGCAAATTCTAAATAAAAACAATGTTAAAGCCTTCGAATCAATATGAAATGTCCATCAGTTTGAGCTTATCTTCTAATAATTTTATGAATCCATCTAGGTAGTTTCACTTGCAATAGTATTGATGTATTATTTATTGCAATTTGTAGTGCCAACTCTACATGGAGACCTGGCAATTTACTCAGTTTACATAGTTTAGTTACATACATATCGGGTGAAATCCTCCTGGTTTGGCCTGGTTCAGCGAAACCAGTAGAGACGATTGTCCCTGGTTCTGCGAACTGGTAGTAAAAAAAAGCATCCAAGGATCGAGCGGATCAGCTGTGAGCCGTGCGATCGTCGGAAGCTCTCTTTTTTTCACTTTTTAAAGCATTTTGTTTCCTGCCTATTCACCCGAACCGGGAAAAAAAATGCTTTAAAAAGTGAAAAACAAAATGGTCACACCCACCCAGTCACATGACACACATCCCACCAAGCCACACCCACGGAACCAGTGGGCAAAAAAAAAATAGATTTCACCACTGATACATATATACATATCTGCACACACACACACACACACACACATATACACGCAATCTAAATGGTAGATTGGTAGTATTTCCTAATTATCTTTTCCCCTGCTAATCAACCTGATTATTTTTTTGCAATCATCCAGCTTTACTGCTCTCACTAAGTTGTGCAAAGCAGTAATGTCCAGACTTACTTTTAGGCTGCAACAAAACATTAAGAGTGAAAGGTGAAGTCAAATAGTTTTCTATCAATCTAGATGGTAGAAGCTCAGCATTTCTCTGAAGCAATTGAATTCTCTAATTTGAACAGAACCACAAATGCATTTTTCACAAATAAATTCAGAAGTTTATATCACCTTTGAAAATATTCAGTTCAGATGACAATATTAAGGAAAATGATATAATAATCAACATTTTATTCCTGCAATGATCAGCTAGATCAAAGGACAACTCCTTTTGGATTGGACCTTTTGCCCATAAATCAAATAGGTTTTTTAAAATAAAATACATTGAGTTTATATGATTATAAATAACACCATTGGAAGTTTTGTTCTGGATTTAAAAGATTAAGAAAAGCATAAGTAATTGAAAGAAGAGAAAATATTATCCACTGAGTACAACTTCCAAGGAGTAATCCTGAATTTTCTACCTTAACAGGCAATTTAAAGTGAGGGAGGTGAGGGATTTTCAATAAAATTTATTCATTATTTATTTTAATCCATTGGTAAGGGCTCCCATTTCGCAAATGCAGCTGTGCATGGTTAAGAGAATTAAAATATCAAAACAAAAACAATTTAAAATATAATAATAATAGCAAAAGCATAACATGGCAAGTGAGGGACACCAGTCAATCACCAAACCACACAATCCCTTTGCCTAGGAAAACACTCAGAACAGCTTTCTAGAAATCTAGCAGCATCATGATCTATCTAGCAGAGTAGATAGATGTACTCTGGTGCTCCTAAGGGCAGGTGCTGCATCTTATACAAAATTGATCTGGAAGTAAATCCTGCTGCTCAGAATGTACTGCTCAGTAGGTCTGATGTGCACAACCCAGCAAAGTTTGCAGCCTTTTTCTATTGTAAGATATTTCAGATGGTTCTCACTTTCAGTGTCTCTTTAAGTTTATCGGAGAGAATCTCTCATTATTTAACTCAGGGGTATTAAACTCGCATCATCAAGGCATCATCATGTGATGTATTGTGACTTTTCCCCCCTTTGCTAAACTGGGCGTGGCCAGCGCCTGACACATTTGGCTTGCAGGCTGCGAGTTTGACAGCCCCGATTTAACTAGTCAAATGATGGATACCAGGTTGAGCCCTTTCAAATGTGTATGGTACGTTTTGAATCTACTGTATATACAAAATGTATATTTTTAAAATTAAATAATTTCACAGCCTTGGGGCTTGGCTTGGCTGAGCTTCAAAACTTGTCAAACTCCTTCTTTCCCCCTAAAATCTACTCTGCCTGGATTTTGTTTTGTTTATCATTTCATCAGGTATCATTTTGGGAAAGGGTGAGGGAAATACTATTGTTTTATATTTTGGAACTGTTTATTTTTGCTGTGATCCAGGTATACCTTCAGCTGCCCAGATCAAAATATTCAAAAACTGGTACAGAAGCAGTTATTCATTTTTATTTTTATTTTGTGGAAATGCAAATATTCAAGTTCTGTTCAAATGTGTACAGCAAAAATTGACTCAGTGCTGAGCTAACTTGTGCAGTGATCTGTCTCTATAGAAGCAGCTGATTCTTAATCAGCTCTCGTCTCCTGGGAGCAATGTGTTATATTTGCCCTAGATGAATGATAATTTTGCAAAGTCAGTTTATCTAAGTGTGCTTTACCTACCTCAACACTCCAGTTCTCTTGCAAGAACTCGGTGTGCCTTGGATGCCCTGTGCTCTCTACTCTTAGACGCTCTGAATGAATCTTATTTCTGTATCTAAGTTTGTAAGATAAAGCATGGCTCAGTGCGTAAGGAAACGATAAAAGCCAAAACTCACAGTTTTAGAACCCTAGAGGAATGTTCTTTTCTATATTTCTAATGTCCTTTTCTTAGAGAAGTGGAATTCATGATAATGTTTTGGAACTCTAGAAATGATCCCCTTGTGTAAGAGGGATTACCACATTTATATTGCACATCATTGCTTTGTAATTCCAAACAAGTAAAACACACAGTGATATTGTTGGAAATGAATCAATATTAAGGAGTTTAGTGGTTTCTTAATGAAGGTGCATTACCTTATTTTAGGGGTATGATGAAGAGGTATCAGTTATGCATCCGCATACAGGTAGTTGACTTAAAATAGTTCGTTTAGTGACCGTTTGAAGTTATAACAGCACTGAAAAAGTGACTTATGATCATTTTTCACACTTATGACCATTGCAGCACCCCCATGATTATGTGAATAAAATTCAGATGCTTTGAAATGACTCATATTTATGATGGTTGCAGTGTCCTGGAGTCACCTTTGGCGATAAGCAAAGTCAGTGGAAAATCAGATTCACTTATCTGTATTACTAATTTAACAACTGCAGTGATTCACTTAACAAATGTGTTAAGAAAAGTCATAAAATGGAGCAAAACTCACTTCACAAATTTCTCATTGAACAATATAAATTTTGGGCTCAATTGTGGTTGTAAATTGAGGACTACCTACACAAGGAGTTTTCAGGAGGAGTTTGTAGGCTTGATTTCAACATGCAAATGATTTTTGTCATCTTTACCCATGAAGAATTGGGGTGCAGTGGAGACACTGCATATTCTGACCTAAGCAGTTTTATACTATTCCTGTATACTTGGCCACACAGATTATTACTTCATTCCATGTTCTTACTATTCCCTCCATGAAACCAGTTTTTCTGAAAAGATGTTTGCAAGGTGGTTATGCAAAACTCTGTGACCTTTCGGTATACTAAAAGGAAAGAAAGGCTGGGAGAGTTAATATTTGTTGTTGTTGTTGTTGTTGTTGTTGTTGCTTGAGTGGCAGTTGTGCCAATATTTAAACTGGATGAATATAAGTATATGACCATGCTTTCTATGTGCATTCTTCTCAATACACAAATAATGGTATTTTATATTAATACAGTAAGAAAAATGAAAGAAAGCTAATGGGATCCATTAATGCTTCTCTTTTACGTAAACATGATTAATAGATCCTCCCAACACAATTGAATTTTAGAAAAACTGTTACTTAAAAAAAAACCACTAAATGACTATAATTGTGTTAATGGTATGGAGTAAGATTTCCCAGTTCTCTCCTTTCTACTTATTTTATCAGCAGCTGACATGGGTCAGTTGTTCTTGTTGTTGTTGTTTTCTTAAAACATCCTCTTAAATTTAGACCAGTGCTCTAAAAAGAAAAAAAGGATGAAAGCTTTCTTTGCAGTGTAGACTTGTCTTTAGTCCTCTCCCCCTCCTCCAAATATGAAATTTCAATCAAGGCATGCCTTTACATATGTTGCTCAGCTTACAACCTTTTGCTGGATGATTTGAATTAACCTTGGAATTAGCCTCCGGAAAAGTTCAATGTAATCTAAATTCAGTTACATCATCCACACAGTCGCATGATTACAATTTGAGCAGTCAACTCACATTTATGACTGCTTGCACCCTCCTATGGTCTTTGTGATCATGATTTGTGATATTTTTGGCAGTTTACAGCAAAAAAATGAGGGGAGGACACTGCCATTGGAGAAGCCAGATCACATGATTTGACTTACAACTGCAGGACTCATGCACTACACTTTACAACTGTAGTGACTTGACTTGGTACAAATGGTTGTAAAATGGGATTCAGTCATGTGATGCTTTGACTCATGACCACAACAAATTACAATACAAATTCCTGTCCCAATTGTGGTCATAAGTTAGAAACTACCTGTTTTGGTTTGGCTCAACCCAACCCTAATTCTAACCATCATAAGTTATAAGTTGTTCCAAGTAAGCTGCCTTTTTCAATTGACCAATGGTGATTTTGTCAATGCCAATGTTGTTCAAGTGATATTTTGGCATTGCATCAGGGCACCTATTACTATAGGTACTTTGGAAACAAAAAAATAATTTTGCTTTTATTATTTCTTTCTTTTCAATCTTTGTTATATTTACAATAGGTAAACAACTAATTATTATTTCTGTTTTATTTTTCCATCTTTTGGTTTGGCTCAGATAGCTTAGCAGGATTTTGCAGGTAATTACTGTATATCAATAACTTTTTGCAGGGAAACAGCTAATTCAAGCTGTTATACTTGCTAAGAACTTGAACGTGTTATGTTTATGTTTTACTTTCAGGCAAGCTAATGAAGAATATCAAGTATTGGCTAACTCATGGCGCTACTCTTCAGCATTCTCAAACAAGCTCTTCTTCACTCTAGTTGATTATGATGAAGGTGCAGATGTTTTCCAGCAGGTGAGGGTGTCCCTTAGAGATTACTAAAACTACATTTAAATGAAATCCTTTCTTTGGAAACACTTTGTATTTCTTGTTCTATGCATAATAGTGTAGCATTGATACCTAGTTTATAACTTTTGTTTGGAAGCTAAATTGCATTAGGCCACATCTTTGTTGTAGCTGGTTGGGAGATATATCAAGCCTATAGCTAACATAAGACCCTAAAAGTAAGCAGTGGCAAGCTACTTCTATATATTTGCCAAACTGCATGAATACTGTATGTTTATCATGTCATTAGAACCCAAACGCAGCTTGAATGAGTTTATTAATACCCCTTATTTTCTAACATTTGAAAAATATTCTTCTTATTTATATATATTTTAAAACCCTAAGATGAAACATAATCCTCTTTTGATTGAGATTGTTGTGATGCAACCCCACTGTAAAACGTTAATTGGTATCACAGAAAAACATCACATATGATATTTACCTGCTTACAAAATGCTAATGAACTCGATCCTTTTGACCCAGCTCCAACATTTATCTAATCCAGGCTTTAGATTCCCCAGAGCAAGTCAGTGAATTTTTGACTAGTTTCTCCCTTGTCTGTCCAAGGTTGAGTTTAATTTGAATTGAACATTCAATGTGTCCACCAAGTCATGGAATATGGAATTCTTATTTTCCCCAAAGGCAAGATGCAAAAAAAAGAAAAAAAGAATGGGCTTCATCTAACTGCAGAGGGTGAATTTTAAAGTCCCCCAGAATGAATAGGCCAACAATTATTCCCTTGCCTTTTTGGAGGTGGGGGAATTTCTGGAATGGGACTATAGCTCCTAAAATTCCTGCCCTCCTAGCTGTTCTTTCCCATCCAATGAATCTTAGCCGGACTTTTTATAGGTACCCTCAAATGTTACTCTTGCTATCTTTCTTGCATAAGAAAAAAGGCAAAAAGAAGAGATGGGAAAGTAGTCTGCCATTAAGTTATTTCCCAGCCATCTAGGCTAATGTGAATTATTAGAAGTATTTGATTATTGTTTTGTTCCAGTCCAACCCAAAGAATAAAAAAGACCTTTAGGAAATAGATTTACCTTTCTGGAGAATGTCATGTCATTATGGTGCTGTTAAAGGAAAATGTATTTATGAAAAAAAGAAAAATGCAGGAAATATGTGATCTATTTTGTCCTGTATCAGAGAAAGCAGCACCCACAGCATTCCCTTCACCTAGTTATGTATAATTGAGTTTGTGCAAGTACTTATTTGAAGAAATTTAAAAAGATGAAAACTTTCAATTGTTTTAGAGTCACAAAACAGTGTCTTGTTTCAGTCAGGAAATCCACACATCATTATCTGAGATATCACATTTGTCAAAAAAAAGTGTTTCATAGTATCTCATAGTGCTATTTTATAACACATTGAGCTGTCAACAGATATTCAGCAAAGGAACAGAATACGTTGTAATAGGAATAAATGCAATTATTTAGTATCTCACTTGATTGTAATAGATAATTTGAATTTTGCAATACTTAAATAATATATTTATCTAGCATAATTCAGTTGTGTAGCAAACATACCATCCTGCTGAATAAAAGTAGTTATGCATATATACACATGATTAGAGACAATTTTGTGCCAAACTTGTAATTGTTACAGGGTCATAGCTCTATCAAATTGCAATATGACTTTATTCATATTTATTTGCCTGTTCTTATGCAAGTAAATACAATACTTTACTTCAGTAATTGAAAACAATCACATTGGAAGAATGTTGCTCCGGGGCAAATGCTGAGGTTACCAGGGAGGAAAATGACCTCTTTTTCACTTACAGAGCTGCTTCTCTCACTCAAAATTCCCTATCAGGTTTTACCCAGTTATTTAGCCTTTTGGATATTCAAAATTTCTGAAATTTCAGTGTGTCAGCAATTTTCACAGGGAGCTGTAAGATATTTGATATTATTATCATAGCAACATAACTGGAATGTTGTAGGAAGGTTAGTAGCTTTTGAAACACCACCTGTTAGAATTTCTGTATCATATTATGACATGATAATGGATTTCAAAGAGACTGATAAAGAATTGGAATGTTTATTTAGTATTTGATGGCATCTTTGTTGTCTATTTCAGCTCAATATGAACTCTGCTCCAACCTTCATGCATTTCCCCCCAAAAGGTAAGCCCAAGAGAGCAGACACATTTGACCTACAGAGAATTGGATTTGCTGCAGAACAGTTAGCTAAATGGATTGCTGACAGAATGGATGTTCACGTAAGTCATTTAACAAAAGAAAAAGACTGACCCACTTTAATCTTCTAGGTTCTGCAACAAAGTGACCTAGGAATTGGGATTCACCCTTCAATGATTTTCCCTCCCCTCCACACACACACAATATTCTCCTACAAAAAAGTATTAAAATAATAACAGTACCAACAGTTCCCTTTCATCGTTCTATAGTAATGTAAAGATGAAAAAATAATGATGTATTTCAAACTTGCTTTGCATAGCTAAAATATTAATCTTGCTGTTTCCTAACAGAACATGAGGAATGATATTATACCAATTAGGTGATTAATGTAAGCATCCACTTGAAATATTACTTATTGCAAGTAATAATTCCAGAAGTCTGACTTTTTAATGCTATAAGAGTGTAGTTACATAAATACATTGAAAAACATTATTTAACTGCATACGGATATAGTAGCAAGAGTGCTGTCAAGGCAGCCTCCCTCAGTAACCAAGAAAGAAACCACTCAACTCCATTTTGCAGAATTAAGAGTACTTTTACTGGTCATGAGTAGATAGCAGCTAAGCAAAGCAAGATCTAAAGCAAAAACGTGCATAATCATAGATATCCATATGTGACCCGACCCCCTCCCCCTGGTAACCCCATCCCATGGTCCAATCCACACATCTCTCAGGTGTCATGTGGGAGACATCTTCAAAAAGCATCATCAGGTTGGTATGCTGGACAGTTGCCCTTGGCGGCAAATCTTTATCTGCAGCATGTGCAGTAGATGGTGAGAACAACTCCCTTTTTACAATCACTCCTGTACTGAATACTTCCCCACTCAAATACCATGCCCCCCCTCCCTGTTTCAATGGCAGCTGAGAGCAAGCAGCAAAGCAGAGGCTGACAAGTGCTGCCCAAAATTATTGAAATCACTTTTCCACTCATTTGAAGCCTGCTAGTTACATTGATTTGTCTCTTGTAATTTCCAACAAATGGCAGATTTGGGATTCCTATACTGTGAATAATATTAATAATCAAATGAAGATGGATTTGTTTCACATCTTTTGGTGGGGAGATGGGGGTGGAAGCATATTTTGAGTTCATTTATCAAATGATTCCTAATTGTATTCCTGAACAAGATGGGATAAAACAAGAACTCTTCTCACCAAGAATAGATCTTGTTCTGTTTTGCATTTGTTTCTATTTTACAGAGAGATTAAACAAAATCCTTTCCAGTTTAAGTTTATTCAGCTTGTTCTCTTCCCATAGCTGCTTTGTCGCCAGTTTGATAATTACCTCCCTCATAGAACCCACAATAGATGTTTCACCCATTATCTTGAGCACATTCTCTCAAATATAGTTTTGTGCTTGATTGCTGTTATGATGGACACAACCATGTGTTTCACTATCTGTTTTACTTGAGATCAGACTTTGAACCATCTGGTTGGAATTGCTGGGACTTAAATTCAGTGACATTGAAAGGGTACATAGATTTTCCAAATTTGGGTTAGATGACACACTGGTCAGAGAACTAAACAAAAACTTTCTCTATAAAGAGATACAGTAGTTATTGTTGCCATATAAATACAGTGACGATGCCACCAATGATTACTTTATACTTGGTAGTAGTCAATATATCCCTGGTGCATTGTATATTGAATTTGTTTTCTCTAGCCAGTTACAATAATAACACCTATGAAGACCGCATGCTATTATGTTAGTATTTTACTATATACAGTACCTGAATAGGCTAGGTCTACTCCTCTATAGCTAGTGCAATTTGAATGGGATAAATTTTACTATTCTATATAGTGAAAATGGGTGACATATAAATGTAATAAATATATTTAAATTATGGTAGTTCATTGCAGACTGACTCATTGTACGTAAGATCCTTCCTTCCTTCTTAGATTACAGAACTCCAGACTTTGGGAGATTTTCTGCAACTTTATAAAATTCTTCTTTAAAGAAAAATATTAAGATTGATTTTATTTAATTAACAAAGTACAAATTATGTATTTATATTGTTTTATTTCCTGAAGCATAACAGTTTCTATTTGGATTTAAGCATGTGTACATGTTCATAGAAACACCTTCTCTTCATATTGGCTTTATGTTTTGAAGATTTTTTTCCTCATAACAGCAAATAAAGTTGTATTTAGATGGCTTGATTGATTTTCATGCAGATGAGTTTCATCATGAGCTGCCAATTTTGTTTAAAGATTGCATTTTCTTTTAGTATCAGAAAGTAGAATTATACTAATCAAATCCCCCTCCTCTCATTTTACAGATCAGAGTGTTCAGGCCACCAAATTACTCAGGTACTATTGCCTTGGCCCTCCTGGTGTCGCTGGTTGGCGGTTTGCTCTACTTGCGACGAAACAACCTGGAATTCATCTACAACAAGACCGGTTGGGCAATGGTTGCATTGGTATGCCAACTTAAAAATAAAAAAAGTTTTGAATTTAAATAATTCATTTCTCTATATCCTGGAGTTTCAAGTCTCCTTTGGACTATTAATGAGAAAGTGCTGCATCAGTGAATAGCTTAGAGAAAGACAGCATTGATTACAAAATCATAACAGGAACAGCTGTGCCTAATCTCAAGGGCAGTAAACAGTATTGGTTGAGTAAGGGCAAGCAGTCAGGAGAGTGCCGGTATTTTAGCTAAATTTTAATTGGTTCCAACATTGGTAAGTGTTTATTAAAGTGACAGTAGTTCTAAAGGATAAAATGTCAAAAAAGAAAAAGAAAATCAGAAGTATATAGAAGGTATCGCCATATGAAAATCATATTCATTTCTTTTTCAATCTCATATTACCATTTGGTAATATTTATGAAATATCTCCAGCTTTTTGTGTCAATTCAGTATACCCATGCCTACAAAAACTCCTTTTTTATGTTACAGCTTTTAAGTAGTGCACAATTGGTTACTCACTAAAATGTCCTGCCTGATACTTCTGAGCTTCTCAGTGAAATTCTGCTTAAGGATTATAATTATTCTTTTAAAGCCTGATGGACCTAATACACATACAAATTTGCCCTGCTGTAGACCTTTTCAAGAAGATCAGCTGTGGGTCAGATCCCACCTGGGTAATTATTAGGGCTGTGCAGAGCATTCAAAAGCATTGCAAAGTGTGTTTGTGCAAACAAAATATCCTCCTTTGACGTGTTAAAGCAGTAGCATCCTTTGCCAAGCTTAGCAGTTGCTTAGAGAGTTATCTCCAGCTGTCTTTATGTGCACGCAGAGATGATTCTCTTGACTGATGTCCCAGTAGAAGGGCTGTGCATACAGGTTGTTTTTGAAGAAGCTTTACCAGCTTCTCAACAGCTATATTAACACTTCAAGGAGAAACACTTTGTCCACATTGTCATCTTTAAAACATCTTACACAGTTCTGTCTTATCTCGGGCCAGAGCTGATTGGAAAGTGATGAGCAAATTTCCACATTTCTTTGATTTCAGCCACTTTAATGTTGAAGCTGTTGCTTTTGCTGATCCACAAGCAAGAATAGCATCAGCAATTGATCCCAGAGCTGCTTTTATGTGATATTCAACAAATGGCCACTTGATTTATTATTGTGCTTTTTATTATAGAATAATATTGTAACACTACAATTATTATTTACAGCAAAGACAGATTAAATGATCAATTTCTGATGATATTATATATACATAAAAATGTGAAACCAAAACTGCATATTATTTAACAGGTGTTGATTTTTTAAAAATAATTCAGTTCTTCCCCCAAATTTAAGAAGTCATAATGTAACAGTGTGATATATGTGTGTATACAAATCTTTTGCAATTGACAGATTAAAATTTTGTCAGGTGTGCAGATTTTCTAAATGCTTTCCAAGATTTTTTGGGAAGGTGTGCCAATAATCACTGGGACCATCATGATCATGGAGAGTTTATGCCATAATCATTCCATTTCAATTTTCAGATTTGTGTACTTTGTTTTATAATTACCATAAAATTGTGTGTGTGTAAGTATAAATTATATGTTTTATAATTTTTATTTATTATATAATAATTATTAATGATTATTTCCAAAAAATACAGATTAAAACCCTTTGATTGGTTGGTTGGTTGGTTGGTTTATTCGACTTGTATGCCGCCCTATTCCCGGAGGGACTCAGGGTGGCTGACAAACCAGAAGGGAAGGGTCACAATACAAAAAAGTAAAAAGACAAACAACAAACAACAGTACAAAAAAATTTAAAAAGTCACAA